GGCCGAAACTCGTGTCGGGGCTCTGAGCTGTGTGTCGAGTCGGTGTTTGTAGCTACTAATTGCATCCTCACTGTCTGCTGCAGTTAACGCTCCCCCCAGTCTCTGTGTTGGCATCACCGTGGATCCCTGGCAGGTCCCGCTGTGCCCAGGGCCCCAGGCTGAGGTCAGCCACCTCCCCTGGCTGTGTGAGCACGGCCTGTGGTGCTGTGACAGCCGTGTCACCGCCCCGCTGCCCGGGGCAGGTGCTGCTCTAGCCTCCCAGGCTGGGACTGGAGCAGAAGCCCAGGGGAACAGGCACAAGGATGCTTCACGTGCTGCTCTGAACCTGTGTCCGAGGGGAATGGTCCCCTCCCTTTCCTTCCTCCCATTTCCACATCAGTTGGATGGGAAACCCTCCCAGAACACGTCCCTGACCTGCCACGCTGTGGCTGAGTAACCGAGTTATAAAAGACAAAGCACCTGGGGGATGATGCACCACGGCCTTGGTGGTGTGACCTGGGGGAGGTCCAGCCTTGCTCTGTTGGGTGCTCAGGCATCGAGCCCTTGTGCCCCCAGAGCATGACCGGGGATCCAGAGCTGGTCCAGTCCCGTCTGTGCCGGCCGTGCCTCAGCGCTGCTGTTCTTCCAGGATCTCGGAGCACTGAAGATCCCGGAGCAGTACAGGATGATCATCTGGCGGGGCCTGCAGGAGCTCAAGCAGGGCCACGACTACGGGGCCCAGCAGCTCATCCGCTCCAGCAGCAACGCCTCCACCATCTCCATCGGCAGCTCAGGGGAGCTGCAGCGGCAGCGGGTGATGGAGGCCGTGCATTTCCGCGTGCGCCACACCATCACCATCCCCAACCGCGGCACCGCCGACGACTGGGCCGACTTCGGCTTCGACCTCCCGGACTGCAAATCCCGCAAACAGTCCATAAAGGAGGAGTTCACGGAGGGAGAGATCAACTGAGCGGCTCCGGAGGCGGCAGCGAGAGACCGGGGGGAGCCGAACACCCCATGAAATGTATTTGCAGCCTCGGGCGCCTGGAGAAGGGTCAATCGGTTGTCCGAGGGGACTGTGGGCCCTGAGCCGGGCGGGAGGCGCCTGCCCTGGGGAGGAAACTGCGGTGGCTTCGGCCCAGGTGAGGAAGAGGACGAGGAGGAGGAGGAGGAGGAGGAGGAGGGCAGCCGAGCCAGCTCAGCAGTGGAGTGGGATTTCTGCCTGCCCGTGGCACGGGAGGCACCGGCTGGTCTGTGTTTTCCTGGAGCACCCCTGCATCCCACAGACATGGTGTAAGGATGGCACATTTTTCTCATCCCTGCTCACTGACCCTGTCTGTGCCCCCTGGGGTGTCCCAAACCCACAGGACTTAGTCACTGCAACACAGACTGAGCCCTCACCTGTGCAGGCATTGCCAGCGAATGGTGGTGCAAAGCCTCATCCTGCTTTCCCAACAGACTGCCAAGCACATCCCTACCCTCAGCCCTCTCTAGAGCTGGAAAGGACCTGTTTGTCTGTTCCTGATGTGTTCTTGTATTAAATATTGGTGTATATAAACAGCAGCAAATGTACATACAGTAAACTCATTGTGCTGTAAGGAGAGAGAAAGATTTATTTTCATGCAAGCTATAAAAATTGATACTGACTCCTGAGACACCACAGTGTCAAGTAAATTAATTTCATGTTGTAGCATGTAAAAATGCAGAAAATCCTGTTTCCAGCCTTATCTATTCAAAATCCAATTTTTTTCTCCTCTGAATCTTTCACGCAATTGCGGAGGAGGGAGAAAGCCAGTGATCATCCTGGGAAGTCAGAGGTCTGGATAATCCCTCCCTGCTCTGTTGGAGAGCTCTGCAGACAGGTCAGACCTGGTGAGCCAGAACACAGGCAGTGTAAATTCCATCCTGCCTTGGAGCACAGCAATAGGCTGGATGATCAGTTCTGTTCTGTTCCTGGTCCCTTTTCCCAGCCGTCATTTCTGTTGATTGAGGCTGGCAAAAAAACCTCCACAGAAAGCAAGGACACAAGTAGGTGTGTTCCCTCCCTGAATGCTAATTCCCCACACATCTGGGAAGGCAATGTCCCACAACAGGTCTCAGAAAGGCCCAGGAAGTCGCAGGAGCTCCTGCTGAACAGCATGAACAGGGGCTGTTCCCAGCAGTATTAATGGATCACTCCATGGCAGGAATGGTATTTTTTGTAACGTTACCTTTGGAAAATGTGTTCTTTTTATAGCTGTGGTTTTTCTTTTGTGGTTTGTTGGTTTTTTGGTTTTGTGTTTTTGGCTGGCTTTTTTTTTTGTTGTTTTTTTTTGGTAACACAATAAAAGCACATGTGGGAATTGCTGCATCTGGCAATTAAAATTGTACAGAAAGTGCCCTCCCAACCCACATAAACCTTCACCCATAGGACCTCAAAGGGCCTGAAGCTGCTGAAACCAAAAAGAAACCCACCTGTGAGTAATAAACTGCTACAGTGA